TGAAACGGAATTACTTTCTATTACTGTACTCTATTTTTAGTCTTTTGAAATAATTGAATTCAGCAATTGCAATGTATTTACTTAATCACTGGCGAAACTCAGTTATCTTTATTTCATTACACTCAGTTCATTTATTTCAATGCAATATAAGTTTTGTATCTTTAATTTTTGGCGTATTTTATCGATCAGTTTCGAGTATTGATTACTTTATTGAATTGCTTCAATAGAAGTAACTCAGAAGTGAATACAAAAATCAGTTGCTGTTTTGGTATTAACTTTTTTACATTAAGGTATTGTAAGAATATTATCAAAAAACAACAAGTAATTTATATCGATCAATCAATTGATTGATTCTACTAAATCATTTGATTCTACTAAATCTTCTAATTCTCGTTTTCTTTTCACTTGACGTAAATCAGTTATTTGCATACTATTGCTAGCATAGATGCGTGCAACGATTGTGTCACGTAATTACTTGTAACGGATAATGAACTTTAATGTTTTAATTTGTCGTATTTATAAACATTATTTCATTTATTCTAGCAGATTTCCATTTTCATAGCAGTTTGTAAATTTTCATAAGCCAAGGCAGGCAATTATTTTCAGATGCATTAATATGCAATATGCAAAGGTATAAGGTATAATTTTCAATTTATTTTACATATGCGAACCGAAAAGCTAAATATCTGTTGCTTCAGAGCAAAAAATAAAACCATCAAATAAGAATTAAAAGCGAATTGATATTATCTCTTTGACTGATTAAAAGACAAGCAGAAGTGATCCATCAGAACTTAGCAGTAGTCGACTAGTTGTTAATGTGAGGGAAGAAAGTTTGCTTCCCAATTAAAACCAAAAACATTCGGCTAATGAGCAAATATCCGACATCATTGACGGCATTTTTCAACGAGAAAACATATCTGAAGATCATTCCCACATACTCTTCCAACTTCTTGAACAGCTGTTCTCTCTGAGTAGTAAAGTGAAAAATATTTTACGATCTACACATATCAGTTATCAGCTTTGGATTCTGTCTCTCGTTACTATTGTGAATATATTTTTAATTAGTCGATTATATGCTTTTGCAAAGAATTATTTCACCTGAAAAAATTGTAGCTATTATGTATAAATTCGAATACTTAGAGATTCAGGGTTTTTCATTAGTTATTCGTTATTCTGATGAAAAGTAAAGCTGCATATTCATGCGTGTAAATAGGTAGTATACTGATAATCAGTTTTATTTGATCAGCTATTGTAAGAACTAATTTTTTTTGCTCCATAATAAGACTTTGTAGCCACAACAACGTTTTGGTATGCAGAAGGATTTTGCAAAATGTTTAAGATCAGTTGAGAATATCTCTCAGCATCTACTAGGATTTGGACTTCATAATATTAATACGAACAATATTCCATTTATATTTTTCTACACCAATTACCGAATTAGAGCAATTGTATCACTGTTTCCAATGCAAATACATTATATGAAGCATTAAGAGAATGGTACTTTGAGGACATTTTAGTAATTATTTGCTATTTATTGGAATGAAATATTTTTTCAGTGATGTGTATTTTAAAAAAATTAGTAGGTAGAACATATAAGAATGTTTTGTTTATTAGTTCTATGTATGTTAATGAGTGTTTTGCAGCCTCCTTTGAACACTCAATTTTCATATTTAACCTTTAACCTTTGTGTATGTTTTTGTGAGTAAAATCAGAAAATATACAACTATATGAGCTTTCCGATTACTTACTTTCAAATAAGCCATAAGCGTAAAAGTAAAATTTCTGTTGTTTGTAGCTTAGTTGAAAAACAATAAAATTATGAGCAAATGAACTGATCAAACTGCATATACAAGCAAATTAATCTTTCAAAATTGCTTTTTCAATATGTCCTTAACACGTATGACGTTCTTTAGAGTGATTTATGTGTACTTGTTTGAAAATTGGGGTTAAATTTTCATCTGCAAGAAACTGCAGAAGCTATGCAAAAACTGATAATTCTTACTTGTTTTTTAACAGTAAGTTTGGAATATAACTTTTAATTGAAAATTATATTATTTTCAGATTTATATGGGTTACACAGATCAAAATTCTGTAAAAAATCAAAGGTTATCAATGCTTCATACTTCTTAACAAGCGATAGTAAGCAAAGAATGTCGACGGGTGTTTTGCCATTTGTAAAAGGAATTGACTTTTCTTATAATGATTTTTCGGTTAGTTTTTCTCATTTTTATTTCACCTTTAAGTATTTTTGCATTATTTTATCCATATTCATTTTTTATGACCTGAAAATATTTGTTGCGTTTTTGTCTACCTCATATTATATTCGCAAACAAGCAAGTCTACCTAAATTTTTTTCCAGAGTATTCCTTATCTGTCTCATTAAGGCCAATGATTTTTTATTATCCAGTTCAATATTATGATAACTTTTACCTTCGAAAATCACTTTGTTTATTCTGCTTACAACAAATATTAATTTGTTGGCGCTTTAAATAATTTTTCGAGATTGATTTATTGGAATTTTATGTATAGAACTTCATATGATCAACTATCATTCACTCAATATTTGTCTTTAAAAGTTTTTGCTTAATTTATTTTGGATAGTTCTCAAATAAGTGAATTTTAAGCAGCCATTTATTTCTTATTTATTACTAGGATTTATCTTTTGTCAATTATCTTTTGTTTCAGGGTGATCGCTTTCCAGCACAAGTCGAACATATGACACAAATGACATGGCTCAAATTGAATCACACTTGTTTAGAGCGGGTATATTTTTATTTAAAGATAAAATTAAGCAATACCTAAATAGTGGTTGAAACGCGGAAGGTTTTTATTGCTTTCTACTTTGTGTGGCTTTGTAGGTACCAGATGAGCTTTCTCGATTAACTAATCTTGAGCATCTGCAAATGATATCAAATACATTAACAAGCGTGCATGGCGAGCTTTCTGATTTACCACGCTTACGCTCTGTTATTGTCCGGCAAAATCAAGTGGGAGAGATCAGTTTTATTTTTGTTTTTGCTAATCACTTTTAATCGGCAATGGTTATTGCAGCAGTATATTAAATTATTTATTTTAAAGTTAAAAATATTTATTTCTATTACTGAAGTTTTTTGCAACAAATCCTTCCAGATTAAAACCTCAGGCATTCCTACTGATATATTTCGGATGAAAGACTTGACAATTATTGACTTCAGTCACAATATCCTTCGTGAAGTACCTCCGAATTTGGAGTACGCAAAGTGTGCAATAGTTCTTAACTTAAGTCACAATAATATCGAAAATATACCGAATACAGTAAGATTTTTACGTAATATGCAACCGAATTTTCTTTTTTTTCTACTTGTGATATTTTATTCTAGTATGAAATTCTTACTTATTTCAAACTTTTTCTTCAGATCTTTTCAAACCTTATTGATCTTTTGTATTTGGATCTCAGCAATAATAAGTTAGAAATGTTACCACCTCAAATACGAAGACTGACGACATTACAAGTTATTAGATTATCAAATAATCCGTTGCATCATTTTCAGTTGAAACAGCTTCCAAGGTATTGCTTTTTTTGTATTGCTAAAAGTTTTTGTTATATTTCTGTGACACTGTTTTGATTTTTTGTCTGTGTTTAAAACAACTCTAGCTACCATAATTTTTAAAATATGTACTAAAGTAGTTCAGTAGAAGCAAGTAGAACTGATTTTTAAATGGATTCTTAAATATATTATTATCAGCTGCTGCTTTATATGAATTAAGAGAGCAAGATAAAATGCAATAGTTTTCAGTATGAAAGCTTTACGAGTTCTTCATATGAGCAATACTTCACGCTCTCTCGATAATATTCCCCTTATGTTGGATGATTTGGATAACCTGCAAGTAAAATTTTTCAGTTAATTAAATTGCTAATGATTGTAAAATTTTTCAGTTAATTAAATTGCTAATGAGTGTGAAAAACGTGGTTGGGATTTCCGAATCATTCAAAAGTTAAACCATCAATCATTTTTCAAACTCAAGCATGTTTCAAGTGTTGAGTAGAATGAGGGCCAGCAGTAAATTCCAACAGTCGTACGTTCAGCTTCAAAACTAAAATTGCTAATTTTCCAGGATGTTGACTTCTCCTACAATAATTTACCAGAAGTTCCGGATTGTTTATACAAATTGAAAAATCTTAGAAAGCTCGATATTAGTCATAACCAAGTAATGTTTCTCTGCAACGTCTTTATCGTACAGTTTTCAAATATTTATTAAGCTACTCAATGATCGGAAAAAGTTATAAAAGTCTCTGCGGAAAACCGTTTGCTCTTAGTGTACATTTTGATACATTCATGAAATTATGTTTTTAGTCATAGTGAATTTTTTTTTTGTATCTTAACAAATGATAATAGGCAAACTTAAGAATCTCAACTGGTGTTTTAGTAACTGATTTTAATGGAAGTCATTGGCCAAATTTATTATTAGATTAATTTTTCAGATTGTAAAAATTGAATCTAAAGATACTCCGTGGGAAAAAATAGAAACATTAAATATTTCCTCAAATCAGTTGAGGGCATTGCCCGAATTTATTGTACGGATGGTCAAGTTGCAGAGATTGTATGCTAGCGATAATTTACTCACCTTTGAAGGTTTTTAATATAACTGTTGATAATTGGTAGATCAGGTACTAAAAAGTGTAAGTCAGTAATAAAATACATTCAGAACAATCCTTTTTCAGGTATACCAAGCGGTATCGGGAAATTAGTTCAGTTACAAGTATTGTATTTATCATACAATCAACTAGAGCTGATCCCGGAGGGCGTTAGCCGATGCGTGCGTTTACGTCGCTTGAAACTAGATCATAATAAGCTTATTACTTTGCCTGATTCAATTCATTTATTGCCTGACTTGAAACAGCTTGATTTACGGAAGTTAGTTTTACAACTACTTATGACAGGTTTTCTACTTTACTGCGTTCAAGTACTAGTTTAATGTCTTGCTCCTTATTTTAATATTAGGTCATTACAAGTTGGAATGAGCATAAAGTTTATGGTGATTTATGTTTTATAACGATAAGATAATTGTTTCGGGTTATTCAAGATCCAAATTGGACACATATGTCTTGCTCTTGATTTTAAGCAAGCAGCTAAGATATTTCTCTAGTTGTTTGAAATTATTGGTGTTTGTATACGTTTATAATTACCTATCACAGTTTCTTTTAACTTCATCCTTTATTTTTTGTGCAGCAATGAAGAACTTATTATGCCACCTAAACCGAACGAAGGAAAGCGATCATTGTGTTTTTATAATATTGATTTTTCCCTCGCAAATCAGGTTATTTATTGTAACTTCATCTTTTATTATGACTTATTAGAAAATTACTATTTTTAATTTACTCATAATATAATATTCTATTTTATTTTGAATGAATAAAAAATACTCATCATTTATTAAGAATCCTGGAAAAGTTTTCAATATTATTCACAAACTAGGAAGTTATAATTTCTTGCATGCTTCAGAACGTCTCTATTATGACTTGTTAAAATCTATCTGCTTTAAAAAAAACGTTCAATGGTTTTACGTTTTTGTGTTTTATTATGAAGCTCTAATGAATAGGATAATACATATAATTTAATCAGTTAAGTGATTTTTGCTCCATATAGTTGTTATGATCTATATGTTTTTAGATGAAGCTTGCTGGACAAAGTCCATCATCATCAGTGAGTTCACTTCCCAGTTCAGCGACTCAAAAAGATCCAGTTGCAAGGAAAAAAGAATTTTTACGGAGACGTCGAATGCAAGCTGATAGTCAAGATGCTACTAAAGTTATTGAGGTAATTCTGCTAATTCACTTCTACCTTGTTGTACTAAGTTCATAATTCAACTTGCAGATGCAGAAAACATGGCATTTGCTATATCGTTAATTTTTTTCTAGGGATTATTGAACTGCATTAGTTGATAAGTGTGGAAATAATCCATTTTCACGTTTTTAATATGTAATTGAAATCAATTCATTATGTTTTTATAGTTAATTTATTGTTCTTATTTGCCTTTTCTCTTTAATTTTGTTTTTAATCACCTCGAATTTTTATATGTTTATAACTTAATGAGACAACACACATGTCATCTGGTGTTCTTCCCCTTCATACTTGTTACTTGGCTTTGACATACCTGCATTGATAATATCAAAAGAGTCTTTTTAATGTATATTTGTCAATAAGTTTTATAACTAAAGTGCATCATTCTTTGAAAATGTCAACTTAGCGAAATGAGCACATCTTTTTTTTGTATTTTGAGTGTGAAATATGACTCCCTTCGAAGTTGGTTTTCGTCTTATTTCGTCTTCTTGAAAAACTTTATTATTTATCATAAGCTATTGCATGATTTAGGGTCGTTTTAAAATTATAGAAAAGAGGAACAGATTGTGTTTTGATATTTTTTTGAAAGAGTTTAAATCAGAATTAGTTCATCTGTTAAGGCTGTAATGCATATTAGGCATGTGATAAAATGTATTCTAATAAATATTCATAACTGAGTTCGTTAGTGCTGGTTTACGTGCTATACTTTATATTGCCTTGTATATTTTGTTTATAGTAATGTAAGTTTCACTTTGTTATTATGCATTCATGCTTCAGTTATTATTTTTGCTTTAGTATCATCGTTTTTTCAAAAATTTTTTTCGTTATACTCATACTTTTGGCACTTTATTTGTACTTTTTCTATAATATAACAGAAAAGAAATAGCGTTCTATTTACCATTATATACACTACGTATTCTAAAGATATTAAAGCAATGTTAAATGCTTTAATATCTTAATGATTTTTACTTTAATTCTGTAATACAAAAAATATAGTATATTTTATGGTGTCACTAGCAGTTAATATTTATTCATCACCTTATCTTAAGCTTCCTCGAGTAATATTTGTTGTTGTTTATGGTTACAATATTTGGGACATGGCATGTAATTATTTTTGATGCTATGATATTTTAGGGAATGTCACATATTGCTGGTGCAGCACGAGATCAGCTAGAGCATGAATCTCCAGTAGATTATATTAAAGTTCCTTCTTGGAAGGTATGATGTCAGTACTTTTATATTGATTTTGTAAATTAAACTTTTCATGCTGTAAGTGCTACATACGAAGTAAGCCAGCAAATTAAATTTTATTATTATTAAAGAAAAGTTAGAATAGTGTTGGCAGTTCTTCTACTATAATAATTAAATAAATATTAAAATGTTAAATCACACTTCTGTGCAATTTTGAAAATTTTGTATTTTACAATTATGTTTTTCGGAATAATTTCTGTTTTTAAGGATAAAATGGAACAGCAAAAACCAAATATTGATTATAGTGACGTTTTTGATGAAGATGTTGGACAGAATGAAGGAATGTGGGTTTGGGAAATTGAGAATTTTTATCCTAGCTTACTGGATCAATCAATGCATGGACATTTTTATGATGCTGATTGTTACCTCATACTTAATACATCCAAAGTCTAGTTTGAATTTTTTTCTTACAGTTTTAGATACTTTTGAACCTTAAATTTTTAATATATTGAAGGCAAAAAACATTGGCTTGCTTCGTAATGATATAAGGGGTGCAGTTAATATTATTTTCATTGATACAGTCGGTAGTGAGAAGAAAAAATTGGAAGTTAAATTTTTTGGCATTAAATTATAACCACATATCGGAGTACAAATATTGTGGAATGAATTAAGAAATGCATCAAATAATTGGCAGTTTTTCAATGTTTGGGCTACACGGAAGTTTTTTTCAAAGAAAAAAATTATTGTTGGTGCTTCGTCAAAAATAAATGTTTCCAGGAGGAATCTGGAGCTTTGAAACATGCTATTTTTTATTGGATAGGAGAAAATTCATCATTAGACAAGGGAATGTGTGCAGCCGTTCATGCCGTTAACTTACGAAATTATTTAGGGGCTACGTGCAGGTGATGACTTTCCAATTTCAATTTTTATGCATCATATTGTTAGATGAGTTATGGCGCTTTCATGTTTGGATATCTTTCAATGGAATAAAAAAAATTATGTCATAGAAAGCTGCTGAAAAATGTTGCAACAACATATTGCGAATATTTTTCTCTATTTCAGCTGTCTCTTGTTCAAGTTCATTAATGTGTAACATTATTCGAAAAGTAAACTTTTTGTAGGACGGAACGTGAAGAAATGAATGATGAATCAGATGATTTTTTGGAATTATTTGGTGAAGAAATTACATATATTGAAGGAGCTCGGACAGCCTCTGGTTTTTACACTGTTGAGAAAGCTGCGCACGTTACTCGGTGAGAAGTGCAGAAAGGACTTGTTTTTAAATATTTTTCCATCTATAGTGTTGGATTTCTGAAAAGTGTTAAAACACTCTTTCACTTGTAGTCTTTATCGTGCTTATGTGAATGGAAATGCGGTTGAGATGGAGCCAGTACCAGTATGTCCGGACAGCTTAGATCCACGATATGTTTTCCTACTCGATGCGGGCAAAACAATTTGGATTTGGAGTGGGCGAAAAGCAAGAGTGTGCTCTATTACTTATTGTTTTTTGTACATATAGCAATTTTGTCCATATGTCCTTCATGAAGCATAATCTAGAGAAGAAAGCAAATAGATGATTATAGGCAAAATTGGTTATTGACGATATAGTTTTGTAGATGATGGGTACTATCTGCTGGGATAAATTTATTTATTTATTATGATTTATCCATCTGTATTCTCGTCTTTTAAATGTCTGCTAAAATTATTTTTCAGCTTTGCTTTGTTTTGGTTTTGTTACATAACCTCCAAGTTTTTCTCTGTCTATTCTTAATCAGTGTTGTAGAGTCAAATAAAACGACTTTTGGGGAGTAATAATTTCCAAATATTAATAGATAACCGTATCGAACAAAACTCGTTTGTTTGCTGTAAAAATGAACAAAAAGGATAGAAAAGGGAAATCTGAAATCGAATCCTGCACAGAACTGCGTACACCAGAAGGATTTTGGATGGCTTTATATGGTCAGCTATTTGGTTTCATTATTTAAATTATTTCAGTCGAACTCCGTGAAGTTACAGTGCAATAAATGTTGACATAATTTATAACTTTTCGTGAAGTAATCAACTGATCTTATATTTCAGGTCAGCCGCATAAGCCACAGGATCCAATAGTAGAACATGTTGATGATGAATTTATCCCGGAAAGGAAGCGTTTATATCAGGTTCAAATTGGTATGGGTTTTTTAGAACTGCCTCAAATAGAACTCGAACATAATGTTTTGAAGCAGGTTAATTTAGATTTTATTTGTTTACAAACTTCTTCAGTGGAAAATGATACATCAGTTATAAATGAATTATTTTTTGTTCATATTCTGAACAAATGAACAATGCTATGGATTAAGTTGAAATACAAATTAATGCAACTCTGTCTTTATTATAAAACGCACAGAAATATTCGAATTCTTAAGGATATGCTCGACACGAAATGCGCTTATATTTTGGACTGCACGTCAGATATATTCCTGTGGTTAGGGAAAAAAGCTAGTCGATTGGTGAAGATGGCAGGACAAGTAATGTATTTGTATTTATATGAGTACATTTTTATTTAATTCATATTTTACTTTTGAGTAACATTATCAACGATTCAGTCAAGTATCACCAGCTAAAACCTATTCATTTGTTTTTGATTCAAAAACGAAAATTGCAACAATTGGTTCGTATTGTGTTAATATAAAAAATAGCTATCTAACATCTATGTAGAAAATGGTGGTGGAATTGCATACAATGTTGCAAAGACCGAATTACACAGTAATATCTCGTGAAACAGAAGGAGAAGAATCAACCATATTTAGGTGTCTAATTTAAGTTTTCGTTTATAAAATTAATATGCGTTTTTTAAATTCATAATGAAGTTTTTTTTTCTTAAAATTGAAATTCATTGCTACATGTTTCTGAATTTTTTAGATCGAAATTTCAAGGTTGGGATGACATTGTACCTTTTGACTTTACGCGCACTGCAGAAAATGTTCAGAGAAGAGGAGCTGATTTAAAGGTAACTGTTGAGAATGAAATGGAAGTATTTTACTATTGCAGTAAATAAATTGTTTGAAGGTAATTATGGAACGTGACAAAGTCAAAACTGATTTGGCTCCTTTGTTCTTGCCGCGGCAGCCATCAATGACCGAAGAGGAAGCAAATCAGATGATGGAAGAATGTAATGAGGATCTTGAACTTTTGGAACCATTTGTTTTAGTGAGTTCTTTATCTCTGTTAAATTTTGGATATTTCAATCCAGTTGTGCTGTAGAAATATCTGTCTCATTTAAAATTAAGACTTGATTCATTGTTTTCGGAAGACCTTAGAATTTTAGACAACAATTTAATTCAGCAGTGTGTTTTTAAGAATCTCCGACATTTAAAAATATGTTACGAAAAGAAAAATAGTGAAACGTCTAAGATTAAGCAAAACACGATGTTTCAGTTGAAATCTTGCAAAATCTTAGCTCTTATCAAATTATATTGATCTCTAAAACCATGTGAAGCAGGAAGGAAAAAAGTTTGTTCGTTTACCCCAAGAAGAACTCGGTACTTTCTACACGATGGATTGCTATGTATTTCTTTGCCGTTATGAAGTTATACCGGAAGAAGAAACTGATTTAGATGAGGAAGTGGGATCTGATGATTCAACTGATGGTAATGGTGCCGTTCAGGTTTTTAAACACAAGGTTAGGATCTTACAAGTAGAAAGCTATATTTTGTATTGATTTTTCAGGATTAATTTTATGCCCAAGTTAAGACATTGACTTGGGCTAAATAAGTTGCCGTCAGTTTTTAATATCACTTTGATAAAAACAAGATTGTAGACTTTACAGATGAATTTTTGGCCCAACAACATGTTATTTTTACAGTAATCATGTTTAAGCAAATCATATTATCGTGTTGTTATATCTGTTATCTGCTATAGAAAAACCTGATAGGGATTCACCATCAGGATTTCATATAGTAGTAAAAGTGATTTTCAGTAGGAAGTAGATTCATTTCATTCAAAGAAGTTATGAATGTTTCAGGTACCAGAAGAAATTCAAGAAGATTTCAAATGTGTGGTATACTTTTGGCAAGGTCGCCATGCAAATAATATGGGATGGCTTCACTTCACATTTAGTTTACAAGTAAAATTAATTCTTTAAGTTAAGATTAGAGCTGCATCATATTTTAAAATTCATGTGCACCAATTATAGATTCAAGTTTAAACACGAAATTCTTTCAGAAAAAATTTGAAGGTCTTTTTAAAGACAAATTGGAAGTTGTGCGTATGTATCAACAGCAAGAAAATCATAAATTCCTTTCTCATTTCCATAAAAAGTTTGTCATTCGGCGTGGTCGAAGGGGTTTAATGATGAGTCTTGGAGGTTTTTCTGATCATTTTATTTATTTTTTGATCTGCATTATTTCTAAGATAAATATTATAGACACAGAGTTCCCTAGTTTCAAAAACTTGGAAGCATCAAGTACCAGTGAGCAATTATTCGATGTTAGAAATGTACTGCATAAATTTAAGTTATGATATCTTAAACAAGTTGGTTGATAACTTTTGCTATAGATAAAAGCAAAAGTTATCAACCAACTTGTTCAAGATATCATAACTTAAATTTATGCAGTACATTTCTAACATCGAATAA